ACGACCGAGCAAAAGCAGTAAGAAGTCATTCCACCCCGGCCCATAAGAGGAAGGCCGTACCGCCACCCCCGCCCTCCCCGCCGCCCGGGTGGTGCGGTGGGGGAATTCTGGGAGTTGAAGTCCACTCATCTTAAAGTGGCCATGTTTGGACAACACTGCTTTAATATGTCAGCAGTTTGGATTATGTACCTATACTGTACAGAACAACTATTTCCAATATATTTAATAAGGGCAGAACTTTAGTTGAGCCATCTCAAGACATAAGATCAGTCCAAGGATAGTGCAGTGACATATTGTCACTAATTTTCTATACATATATATTCCAGACATGCACAGCCCAGATTATTAAAAAGAACTCAAGGTTCTTTTCCAACAGAGAATGCATTCCAGCTTTCATATTTGCATGTCACTCTAGTTGGATCAATATCTGTGTACTATTGCTGTTGTTATTTGCTGTTCTAATAATGACATATTATGTAAATTTTCTATCAAGCCCTGTACTCACCTCCATTACAACTTGCATGGAGATTAATGTTGATGACCAGCTATCAAGGCAGACATGCTAGAAGTGGGGTTATAAAACAGACTATCTTGCTCAGGGTATACACCTTCAGGTAGGACCTTTCCTCCTAGAATAGGAGTTTGGATACAAAGTATGGGAAAGAGCATATATTATTATTATAAGGACTTGTGGACACCAAGAAAATGAAGGAGATTATCATGACCATAGCCAGAGCTATGGAAATAGAAGCTTTTGGAGCCTGAATGGGCATATGTTTAGAGACATGGTCTCATAAATTTGCTCATAAACCTGTATACCTCCCAATCAGCTCAAAAGTGGTGAAAAGACATAATGTCATGTTCAATAAAACACTTCACAAATATGTGTTGAAAGAAAATTCTTCCTTGCATCCTAAATGCTTGTTTTTTAAATCAATTAATGGAGGGATTCAGATCATAAAATCATACAGCAGTTTGGATCTTAAAGTGGCCATGTTTGGACAACACTGCTTTAATAGGGACCTTGAAGTTCAAGCTCCTGCCCCGGGCAGAAATCCTCAGACCATGCCACACAAATGGCTGTTTGAACACTTCCAGTTATGGAGCACCCATATTTCCAGGAGCCATGAAATTCTCTCACTCAAATTTCTACCCATTGGTTTCTGTCTTACTTTGGGCCCTATGGAGAATAAATCCACACCCTCTTCCCTGTGACAGCTCTATAAGTATTAGAAGACTGCTACCATGTCTCTCCTTAGCTAAACATATCCAGTTTTTTAAACTGTACTTCATAGAATTTGCATCTAAGACCCTCCCATCTTCTCCATACTCTTTCCAGTTCTTCACAGTATCCTTCTTCTTTTGTGATGACCAAAACTGGACACAAGCGCAGTCTGACAGTTGCAGTATTAGAATGGCATTATCACTTCCCATGACTGCAACATTATACCTCCATTGATACAGCCCATTAGCTCTTTAGGCAGCTGTAGCCCATTGCTAACTCATACTTAATCTATGGTGTACTAGGACACACAGATCCTTCTTACAAGTTGCTGAGCTAGATACCACCTATCCTGTATTTATGTATCTGTTTTCCTATCTAAGCACAGAACTGTACATCTCATACCATTGAACACCATTTTGTTCTATAAGGTCCAGTATTCAAGTCTATCAAGATCCTTTTGAATGTTGAGCCTATCTTCTAACATGTTAGCAATCTCCTCCCCCTCCCACCAGCTTTATGTCATCTGCAAACTGTATTAGCATTCCTTCTATCCCCTCATCTAACTCATTTATAAAAATGATGAAGAGCCCTGAGCCCAAGACAGAACCCTGAGGTACCACACTATATACCTCCCTCCATGTTTATATTAATCTATCAAGGGCACACATTAGGTATGATTCTTCAACCAGCTGTGAGTTCATGGGACCATCCATCCCACATTGTTCCATTTAATCAAGGCCAAGGCTATGATCAACTTTGTAAGTACATAATCAGCATTCCCTTGGACTACTAATCACTTTGTTTTAAAAAAAAATGTCTACCACAACCTATTTTTTTAACAAACAAATGTTGGTTTTTAGTAAA